AGGGGGAGGAGGAAAGGGAGGGGGAGGAGAGGGAAGGGAGGGGAGGAGGAGGGACAGGGAGGGGGAGGAGGAGGAGAGGGAGAGGGAGGGGAGGGGAGAGGAGGGAGAGGGAGAGGGAGGGAGGGAGGAGGGAGAGGGAGATGGAGGGAGGAGGAGGAGAGAGAAGGAGGAGGAGCAGGAGCAGAAGGGAAGGAGGAGGAGGAGAAAGGAAGGGAGGAGGAGGAGAGGGAAGGAGGAGGGAGGGAGAGGAGGAAAGGAGAGAGGAGGAGGAGGAGAGGGAGAGGAGAGAAGGAGGGAGAGGGAGGAGGAGGAGGAGGGGAGGGGAGAGGAGGAGGGAGAGGGGAGAGGAGGGAGAGGAGAGGAGGAGGAGGAGGAGGAGGAGAGGAGGAGGAGGAGAGAGGAGAGGAGGAGGAGGAGGAGGGAGGAGGGAGAGGAGGAGGAGAGGAGGAGAGGAGGAGGAGGAGGGAGGGGAGGAAGGAGGAGGGAAGGAGGAGGAGGAGGAGGAGGAGGAGGAGAAATAAAGGAGGAGTAGAATTAAAGGAGGAGGAGGAAGAAGAGAAAGGCAGGAGGAGGAGGAGAAAAAGAAGAAGAAAAAGAAAAAGGAAAGAAAATTTAATTAACGCGTATTGTAGGTGCCGTTACCCTAAAGCGTAAAATAAGCTATAACAAAACTGCAAGAGCTGTTAAAGCGCTAACGGACGTGGGCAAAAGAGCATAACCATCGTTAGAGCCAGTCTGACCGCCGGTTACGACATGCAAGGTGCTGTGAAACCCCGCCCTCTGCGAGACTCCCTTAGAACTGGGCTGGTTTGGCCGTGTCTGCGGTACTGTATTTCTTATGTATACGAATGTCCTTTTTAAAAATTATTAGAAAAAAATAAGAAAAAATAAAATCAATAAAATAAATAATAATAAGAGGATTAATAATCATCGTAATAATCATGATTATAATCATATTTACAGTACTATAATAACAATAATAGCTATAACAAAAATAATAACTAATAATAATAAAATCAATGACTGGTACGAATATGTCAGTTGATCGACTCGTTACTCGATCTCCGCCGTTCCCGCGAACATAGGAATTCGAAGCCTGACTCACCGGGTCGAGACTTCGCTATCAGGCCGCCCTCGAGATAACACAGCGTCAGCACCTGCGAGGAAAGGCCAGGGCGAGGAGAGAGGGGAGGGAGGAGGGAGAAGAGGGAGGGTTGGGAGGAGGGAGAAGAGGGAGGGTTAGGAGGAAGGAAGGAGGGAGAAGAGGGAGGGTTAGGAGGAAGGAAAGGAGGGAGAAAGGGAGGGTTAGGAAGGAAGGGAAGGAGGGAGAAGAGGGAGGGTTAGAGAAGGAAGGAGGAGGGAGAAAAGGGAGGGTTAGGAGGAAGGAAGGGAGAAGGGGAGGTTAGAGGAAGAAGGAGGGAGAAAAGGGAGGTTAGGAGGAAAAGGAAGGAAGAAGGAGGAAGGAAGGAAGAGGGAGAGAGGGAGGGTTAGAGGAGGAAGGAAGGAGGGAGAAAGAGGGAGGGTTAGGAGGAAGAAAGGAGGAAGAGGGAGGGTTAGGAAGGAAAGGGAGAGGAGGGAGGGTTAGGAGGAAGGGAGGAGAAGAAGGAGGTTAGGAGGAAGAAAGGAAGGAGAAGAGGAGAGGTTAGGAGGAGAGGAGGAAGAGAGGAGGAGGAAGGAAGGAGAGGAGGAGGGGAGAAAGGAGTTAGGAGAGGAATGGGAGGAGGAAGGAGAAGGAGGAAGGAGGTTTAGGATAGGAAGGGAAGGAGGAGGGAGAAGAAGGAAGGAGGTAGAGGGAGGGTTAGGAGGAAGGAAGGAGGGAGAAGAGGGAGGGTTAGGAGGAAGGAAGGAGGAGAAAGAGGGTAGGAGGTTAGGAGAAGGGAAGGAGGGAGAAGAGGGGAGGGTTAGGAGGAAAAGAGGGGGAAAAGAGGGAGGGGTTAGGGAAGAAGGGAGGAGGAAAAGGAGGAGGGGTTAAGGAGGGAAGAAAAAGGAAGGAGAGGGAGTTAGGAGGAAGAAAGGAAAGGAGAAGAGGGAGGGTTAGGAGGAAGGAAGGGGAGGGAGAAGAGGGGGGAGGGTTTTGGAGGAAGGAAGGAAGGAAAAGAGGGGAGGGTTAGGAGGAAGGAAGGAGAAGAGAGGGGGGGTTAGGAGGGAAAGGAGGAGGTTAGTTAGGAGGAAGAGAGGGAGAGGGAAGAAAGGAGAGGAAGGAAGTTAGGAGAAGAGAAGAGGAAAGGGTTAGGAGGAAGAAAGGAGAAGAGGGAGGTTAGAGGAGGAAGGGAAAGGGAGAAGAAGGGAGGGTTAAGGAGGCAGAGAGGAGGGAGAAAAGAGGGAGGTAGAGGAAGGAAGGAAGGAGAAGAAGGAAGGGTAAGGAGGGAAGGAGGAAGGAGAAGAGGAGGTTTGGAGAGGAAGGAAAGGGAGAAGAGGAGGGTTTGGGAGAAGGAGGAGGAGAAGAGGAGGGTTAGAGAGGAAGGAGGAGGGAGAAGAGGGAGGGTTTAGGAGGAAGGAA